GCTTGCCAATGTGAGTGTGTTTGTGTGTATATGTGTGTTGCACACACACACATATAAATAAATAAACGTGTATGAGCAAGCTTCCATTTCGCTGTATGGGACGAGATTAAAAAAAAGCGGGCTGGGGGGGGGGGGGGGGGGGGGGGAGTCTTGTTTGCTGTATAGTTTGGATGTTTGCATTGCGTTCTGACAGGGTATCATTTGCTAAGTAGCTAGCTATTTGCTTCGCGTTCTGAAGATGACGGGGGTCAAGACCCACGGATTTTACAGCTCCATCTCTAATGAAAAACTGCACACCGACCCTGTTTTATTAATCTTATCGCGCAAATTTAAATATGAATAATGGATTTTTGTTTCAAACACCAATAGATAAAGCGTGAACTGTAAGAATTTGGACTTTTAGTATAGACACTATTGGGGGGGGGGGGGGGGGGGGGGTGATTCAAGATTTTATAAATTTACGTATAATTTTTCTGTTAATACTAAAATATGACATCATTTTCTGAAGCAGCACACTCACTAATTCTAATTACGAGCCACCACTGATAAACACACAAGTAGATTACTTTGAATATATATATATATATATATATATATATATATATATATATATATATATATATATATATACATACATATGTATAAGGACGTTGTTGTTGTGTTTTCTATGGGCATGTAAACAATTAGGTTAACGAAGAGCATTGGTTCTATATAGAGCTCGTTAATGTAGACTGTTGGAGACTCTTGCTAGTAACATTATTTGTAACCTCGGTTCTGTAAACTTTGTTGAGACTTGGGTCTTGTACAGAGCTCTGATAAACACCTTCTCTGTTCTATTAACAGAACAGATGAACAGTAAGTATAGCTTAGAAGGTCATTAGTACAGAAAGTTTGTTATTCAAAAATGTTGCGAGTAATTACTGCTTGTATGAGTTTAAGCTCAGGCTTCCTTCCACACAATGTCGAAGTATGGGAACATAAACACACACACACACACACACACACACACATATACACACACACACACCAAAGAATATCATATTCATTATTAGATTAACCTGTATAACATAATTTCTTTTATTTATTTAAGAGTTAAACAATCACTGCAATTTCAATCTTTTACAGAGCACTTATACAGGGATTGTAGAAGTGTAGTTAGAATAAATCAGGGAACATCTCATCCTTTCACAGTGGCATCTGGAGTAAGACAGGGGTGTATCTTATCACCACTGCTGTTTATCACATACATCGACAGTATATGCAAGAATGCCAAGCCCATGAATGAAGATCTTAGTAAGGTCAACGAATTACTCTTTGCAGATGACCAGGCCTTGATAGCAGATACAGCCATGAAATTGCAACAACATCTAACATCCATGAATGAAGAATGTAAAACAAATAGTATGAGAATCAACACTGAAAAGACAGAAGTAATGTCAATAGGAAAAAAGAAGACAGATCTAAACATAGCAATAGAATACAAAGACATTAAACAGGCATCTGAGTTTGAATATCTGGGAACTACATTTACCGAAGATGGGAAATTGGATAAAGAAATTGACATTAGATGCAGTAAAGCAAACCAAGTATTGGGACAGCTATCCCCCCTCTGACAGCATAAGACAATCCTAATCAGCACAAAGAGACATCTTATTCAAAGCATATTTATTCCAACTCTGTGCTACCAGTGCCAGACATGGTCACTCACAACAAACCATAAAAGAAAATTAGTAACCACGGAAATGAGATGTCTGAGAAGGGCTGTAGGAGTGACCATAAGAGATAAGATCAGGAATGAGATCATAAGAGAACAAGTCGGCACAGAACCAATTCTGGATTACATACAAAGACAGCAAGTGAAATGGTTTGCCCACTTAGAAAGAATGCCTTGTGACACCATACCATACAAAGCATACATGGAAAGAGAAGAAGGACGTAGAGCACGGGGTAGACCAAGAACAACATGGAAGGATAACATCAGAGAAACTCTTCAACAGCACGATGTGCCTACGGTCGAGGCAGCCAGAAGATCTAGAAACAGAACCTTATATCTCCCTCGACACCCACAGCGGTAAAAGAGGAAGTGAAGAAGAAGAAGAAGAGACAGAGCACTGACATAAGTACGAACGGTTTCTCCATATGATTTATTGCTTAACTTGCTCTTTCTCTCTCTCTCTCTCTCTCTCTCTTTCTCTCTCTCTCTCTCTCTCTCTCTCTCTCTCTCTCTCTCTCTCTCTCTCTCTCTCTCTCTCTCTCGCTACAGCTGTCTTTTTTTCATTCAACGACTTCCAACTGCACCATTCCAGCGTCACCCGAATTTGATCGAGGCCACTAATGCCCCTGGTTCGTTATAGCGCTCCTAGGGTGCCGGTAGAGCCCACCTTTGGAAACCCTCGTCTAGCACTATTTGTTAAAAATGCATGAAGGCACTAGAAAGTTCCTTTACAACCATCTGGAAGAAAATATAATGGCGTAACAGCCACAAACAGCAGATTTTCGAGCACTATTTAGAACGTCTGTGCCATAATTTCCAGACATAAAGGCATTCAATTATCGGTAAGTAGTCGATTTGATATAACATTTTTGTCGCTTCTTATTAGTTTTCGTTCCTTATTAGTTTCCACTTCAATTTTTGAACGTTTACAACACATGACACGTGACTGTAGCTCGACTGGATATTTTGCGGCCGCCATCTTTGCCGACCGTTAGTCGGAGGATAGTCGTTCTCACTTTATTGAAAGCATCACTTTGAAAGCAATTGAGAAATTATAAGAAGCAGACTGAATTAATACAAGGGAGCTACAATGTGTTCAAAAAAGTAAATGGTGTATATTGCTGGGTACTCATGGAGGTAAATAAGGTTCGACAGATCAAAGATATCTGACCAATTTCTGTCAAAATTCTAAATAAAATAATACCTTAATTTAAGACACTGTTTTTATAATTTTCAAGAGTAGCCGTGGTCACCTGCATATCCGAAGGTTGTGGGTTCGGGTTCCGATAGAACCAAATTTGTTTTGTTTGTTTTTGTTTCTTCAGAACTGATCTGGGCTCCCACGTTGGCCCAGTCTTAAATGGGTACCAGACAAAACTCTGGCAAGTAAGGGTGGCCGGAGTGGTGGTGACCACATTACCCACCAAATGGCGATTGATCTATAAAATATCGGTCTAGTCTTGTATGTTTAATACACATGAAGATGTAGAAAAGGGGCCTTTACAAATTTTACTATAATTATAATTTTTACCTATATATGTAACTATATATATGTAAATGACGTGACCCAGCCATATTGA